GAAAGAAATGACCATAAACCGCGGGCCTTCCCTTCCCCACCCATAAAACCTACAGGGAACAACTTTCGTGGAACAACTTAAAAAAAAAAAAATCCTCTCCGCTTCATAGAATCCACAGGTATTACCAAGAGAGAATTCTTTCGCAAGTATGAATGATTGTGAGCCCCCCCCCCCCTACTTATACGAAGGTTCATATGATTGGTTATTGACTCATAAAAAGAAAAAAAATGTATAGAGTTAATTCTTTTTCTTTCTCATTCTCTGCCTTTCACAATAAGGGATGTTATGGCAGTTGATCTGTGTTAATACGATACGAAATGTGTACATAACTATCAAGATAAATTAAATATATGGTGGATGGTGTGGCAATACGGGAAAAATATCGAAAAAAGGGTAAACCTGTTCTGGCCGTAAAAGCTATGCATTTTTTAAGTTTTTTCTTCTCTCTCTCTCTCTCTCTCTCTCATTATCTATCTGTCTCTATCTCTAACGCTGACTACAAGTCTATCTACCTCTTTCTGCCTCTTTGCCTACTTTTCACTCACTCCCCTTCCCACCCCCACCATCATCCATCCACCCACCCACTTATCCATCCACCCACCCACCCATCCATCCTTATCATCCACCACACCATCCATCCATCCATCCACTCCAGACTGATACCTTTGTTTTGCTCGCTGAGGAAATTCCACGCGCGGTTGCAATGTCCCATCGTGCAATTTTCCGACATATTGCGCAGGTGTGAGCATCTGTTGTGCCAGGTATGGAGATTTTTTTTTTTCTTCTTCTTCTTCTTCTTCTTCTTCTTCTTCTTCTTCTTCTTCTTCTTCTTATTTCTTTCTTCTTCTTCTTTTCTTCTTTCTTTCTTTTTTTTATGCGTCTAATATTAAGTGCTAAGATATATGTGAACGTGTTTGCTGAGTGGTGTTCGAACGTATTCGAATACAAAATTATTATTCGTTGAGATGATGTCTTTTTCTACCCATTTCGTCGCTTGTAAGATAGTGGAATGCAATACGTTCGTTGAGAAAGTGAACGAACAGAGAAAAGAAGTAAAGATGAACGAAGGATACGAATATCTTTTGAGTTTTAATGTTTTTTTTTTTTTTTACCTTATTGACTACTGATTGCAATGTGTCAGGATAGTGGCAGATGTTTGAGTCGTTTCACCACTATACCATTTGCATGATTTTTTTCTTTTTTCTTTTCTTTTTTCATTTTCTTTTTTTTTTTCTTTTTTTTCCATACTGTTCGGGTGTGCATATGTTTATAGGGAATATGACATTCACCGTTTGCAAAAAATATCTTTCACACGCACTTTGCAAAGTTACCAATCTGGCCACTCGTTCACACCTACAAATCATTCATTCACCCCATCCGTCCATTCCCATCCCCACCATCATCCACATCCCAACCATTTATCCATCCATCCATTCCACGCCCACAGCACTCACCCACCCATCCACCCACTCACCCACCCATCCATCCACCCCACTCACCCACCCATCCATCCACCACCCACTCACCCACTCATCCATCCGTCCATCCATCCACCCACCCATCCCTTCCTCCCACTACAATCACACCGCTGCCACCATTCACTCTATAAAGTAATTCTACAGAAAAAAAACAATAATTTTCCTCATTTTCCTCAAGTGAGGCAAAAAAAGAGAAAGTATGAGGCAAGACCTTTGTTCCTCACGTGAGTCTCATGGCCTTTCACTTCTGCTGCCCTCCACTCCTCACGTGACCCCCTCCCCCCCCCCCATCGCCTCATTAAAAAAGGGATAATTAATTCATACTTCTTAGCTGAGGTCCACTCCTATGCATATCGTTATTATCATTAATATTATCATATTTTGTTTATTCATTTATCTATATTATTAATAATTGCGGTTATTAATATTATGTTTTACTTCTTCATTTATTTATCTTTTCTTTCTTTCTTTCTTCTACTTCTTTTTTTGCTCTCTCAATCCCCCTATTAAAACAGAACAACTTTTTATGTGTAGTTTTTAGGTTTAACTGCTAAGATGACCCGATTATCATTTTATCATTATAGTTATTTTGACTTTCTCTCTGTCTTCTTTTCTTTTTCCCCCTTTTCCTTTTCTCTTGTATTTTCATTGTTTTTTTATTTGCTTACAAGAGAGTAATGCTTATCAAGTAAATACGTGTTTCATACTTCAATAGAATCTCGTTGACTGTGCGTTTGTTTGTTCCCAATCTCTCTCTCTCTCTCTCTCTCTCTCTCTCTCTCTCTCTCTCTCTCTCTCTCTCTCTCTCTCTCTCCTCTCTCTCTCTCTCTCTCTTCTGTCTGTCTGTCTCTCCTCTCTTTCATTCTCTCCCTCTCTCTTCATTCTCCCCTCTCTCTCATTATCTCCATCCTTCTCTCATTCTCTCCCTTTCTCTCTCATTCTCTCCCCCCCTCTCTCTCATTCTCTCTCTCTCTATCTATCTATCTATCTCCCCCTCTCTCTCATTCCCTCCTCTTCCTCAC